AATTCCCGACGGAATTTATATTCCGTCGGAAAATACTTAATTTTCGACGGATTTTATTCCGTAGGAAATTCCTTCGGATTAATCCGCCGGAAAATAAGTAATTTCCGACAAAAATTAATTATGTCGGAAATTTCCGACAGAATTGTATGTGTTTCCAACGGAATTTTAGAATTTAAAAGTTGAAAAAATTAACAACCTTAATTAAAACACTAGTCAGCCGCCCTTACCCCTTCATTTCTCTTTCCTCTCTTTTTCTCTCTTCCCCTCATTCTTCCTGATCTCCTTCTTCAATTCGCCCCTTCTTCTTCTCCGCCCCTTCTTCTTTCCCCTCATTCTTTCCATTTCTCCTTCTGCCTCTTCCTCTTCTTCTTCGCCCCTTCTTCTTCTCCCTTTACCCTTTCTCTTTTTCGTTTCTTCTTCTCCCTCCTCTTCTTCTTCGCTTCTTGTTCTTCTTCTCCCTCCTCCTCGTTTTCTCCGCCCCTGCTTTTCCATTTCTCCTTCTTCTCTGGTCGAATTTATTTGTATGAAAACAAAGGTTTTTTTTTTGGTGAAATTCAACATGAAAACTCTAGATCTAGAGTTTTCATGGTTGAATTTCTCCTTATAAACCCGATTTTGAAGTTTTATGGTGGAATTAAGGTAAGTATCTCTTTTTAATTTTATTTAATTTTTATTTTATCTGGATTCTTGTTTTTTTTTCATGGTGGTGGGCGGCAATTAGGGTTAGGGTTGTGGTGGTGGGCTTTGCAGGCAGATCTGAGTTGGAGGTGACGTGGTGAGTGGTGGTGGTGGTAGAAGGTGGACAGGGGTGGAAGGATATGTTTTATTTGAGGGTTTTATATTTTTTGCGGTGGGTTAGGTGGCGGTGGTGTGGTTCGGTGGTTGGGTAGGGGTATGGTGGTGTGGTTCGGTTAGTTGGGTAGGGGTGGGGTGGGGTTGACAATAGGTTTTTAGGTACGGTGGTGTCGGTGGTGGTGTGTGGTGGTGGGATAGAGGTGAATTTGTGGTTGTCTAATGTTGGGGTTAGGATTAGTTAGGGGTTGGAATTGGTGATATGCCATGCCGGTGGTGGTACGACGTATTTTTTTAAAAAAATTTCTGAAAGCATTTTCCAACGGAATTTCCGTCAGAGATTTCCAACGGAGTTGTATCCGTCGGAATTTTTCGACGGATTTTTGCGGTGCTGGAAAATGTCTTCTGACGGAAAATTCCGTTGGAAAAGTTAAATTTTCCTACAAAGTGTCTTCCGACAAATAGTTCCGACGAAATTCCGTCGGCAACTGGTTTTCCGACGGATTTCAGGGTGTTTTCGACGAAATTTTTCCGTCGGAAATGGCCTATTTTCTTGTAGTGATAACTTATTATTTATCTTTAATAGAGACGAATTAAATGAAACCATATCATCTTATAAGTGTTTCTTATTAGATAAGGTATTGCGTGCGTACGGACGCACGAACTGTTTAGTGCGGGAGGCTTGGGTGATATGTTTCTTGTGTTAGCTGATATGTTTCGTGTGTTAGCTGATATGTTTCGTGTGTTGGCTAATATCCTCCTTTTGTGAACTGATATTTTTTTTTTTTTTTGCTGAACTGATATCAAACATAATAATTTGGCTTATGTGTTTCTTTAGTTGGTTGACATATTTATTTTGTTAGTTGATATGTATATTTTAATTATTGGTTTATATGTTTCATTTTGTTAGCTGAAATGTTTATTTTGTTGGTTTACCTGTTGCTTTTTTTGGCTGATATACTTCATTTGTTGGCTAATATGTTCCTTCTATTGGCTGATAAATACCTTTTGTTGGCTAATATACTTCTCTTGTTGGCTTATATGTATCTTTTGTTGGATGATATACTCCTCTTGTTGGCTTATATGTATCTTTTGTTGACTGATATGTTCTCTCTATTGGCTTATATACTCTTCTTGTTGGATCATATGTATCTTTTGTTGGCTAATAAGTACTTTTTGTTAGCTGATGTATTTATCTTGTTGGCTGATATATATCTTTTGTTAGCTGATATGTTGGCTGATATGTTCCTTCTGTTGGCTGATAAGTACCTTTTGTTGGTTGATATACTCCTCTTGTTGGCTTATATGTATCTTTTGTTGGATGATATACTCCTCTTGTTGGCTTATATGTATCTTTTGTTGGCTAATATGTTCTCTCTATTGGCATGATATACTCTTCTTGTTGGATCATATGTATCTTTTGTTGGCTAATAAGTACTTTTAGTTAGCTGATGTATCTATCTTGTTGGCTGATATATATCTTTTATTGGTTGATACATTTTATTAATGTCTGATATGTCCCTTAATGTTAATTGATATCAGACATTAATTGGCTAATATATTACTTTTATTGGCTTATATACAAAGTATATATAAGTATATTTCTTTCTCTCTCCTTTTTCCCCCTCTTCCTCTCTTCCTTTCTATCTCCTGTTAGCGTATTCTCTGTTCTCACGCCATCCTCGCCACCCAATCCTTCTTGTGGAGCATTTAGATTTTAGGATTCCAAACACTACCTTAGCCACCCAGGTAGAGAACACCACGGGCAGTCCGCAGCGCCCCCCCAGCCACGACCAGACTGTGGTAGGGACTGCCAGCAGCACTGATGATGTGCTCGCTGGGTTGCCTACCGGCGCTGGTGTGGGGGAGCAGCACGCAGACCCTCACTCGCCTCCAGCGGACCGTGGTGCAGCAGCCACGGCTCCCGAACAACAGCAACATCGACAACCCCAGTTGGGCGGTTTTGTCGAAGACATTGAGTAGGGTGAGACTACTTGTGACATGGGTAAAGGGAAGCGACCAAAGATCCCTTTAGTTAAACTCAGAGGTTATGTGACTCACGTACACCAGTCGAAATAATAGTGCATTCACACATCAACATTCATCCGTGACATCTTCCTCAAGCACTATTTATCCCATAACACACTTTGTTGATTCTCACAAATTTTCGGTGAAACATAGAAAATATATTGCAACAATTACAGGCAGTCATGAGCCAAAAAAATTTCAAGGAAACCATGCGGCATGAAGGTTGGAGAAAGGCAATGGCCGATGAGAATCAAGCTCTTGAAGAGCAAGGCACATGGGTGTTAGAAAATTTACCACCTGCCAAGAAGGCGCTCGGGAGTAAATGGGTTACAAAGAGAAGTATGATGAGCACGGGAATCTTTAGATATTGAAGGCAAGACTTTTCATATTTGGTCATCATCAAGTTGAACGTCTAGAATATAATGAGACATTTGCATCGGTGGCAAAGATGGTGACAGTTCGAATTTTTCTTACAGTTGCAGTAGTAAAGAACTGGGAAGTCCATTAAATGGACGTCCACAATGCCTTCTTACATGGTGACTTGGATGAAGAGGTAAACATGAAAATTCCCCTTGGTTTTAATAAAAGTAATATTGGGAAAATGTGCAGGATGAAGAAGTCATTATATGGCTTGAAGCAAGCTCCTAGATGTTGGTTTGCAAAATTGACAACGGCGTTGAAAAATTATGGCTTTAAGCAGTCATACTATGACTATTCTCTTTTTATTCTGACAAGAGGGAAAATGCAACTTAATGTGCTAGTATATGTTGATGATTTAATTGTTGCAGGGAATGATAAGTTTTCCATGTTGTCATTCAAAGCATGTTTGGGGAATTGTTTTAAGGTGAAAGACTTAGGAGTTCTAAAATATTTTTTTAAGGCTAGAGATAGCCCGAACTAAGCAGGGAATTTTCATGTGTCAGAGGAAGTATGCCTTGGAAATTATTACAGAAGCAGGGTTGCTTGATGCAAAACTCGTAGATTTTTCAATGGAGCAAAACCACATGCTAGCTCTGACGGATGGGGAATTTTTTCATGATGTAGAGAGGTATAGACGTCTTATAGGTCGTTTGATCTATTTATCTGTCACTAGGCCAGACTTGGCCTATTCTGTCCATATTTTATCTCAATTTATGCAGATCCCAAGGGTAGAGCACTAGGATGCTGCCTTGCGAGTTGTGAGATATCTGAAGAAAAGTCCAAGTCAGGGTATCCTGCTGAGATTTGATAGTGCTCTACAGTTGGAAGGACGGTGTGATTCGGATTGGGCGAGTTGTCCGTTATCTCAGCGTTCCTTGACAGGTTGGTTTGTGTTCCTTGATCTATCTCCTGTGTCATGGATGACCAAGAAGTAACCCACGATAGCTAAAAGCTCAGCCGAAGCAGAGTATAGATCAATGTCCGCAGTGAGCTGTGAGTTGAAGTGGCTAAACGGCTTTTGGGTGATTTAGGTGTGCGACATAAGAGTGGCATGCACCTGTATTGTGACAGTCAATCGGCTTTATACATTGCGCAAAACCTAGTGTTTCACGAGCGAACGAAACATATTGGAGCTGATTGTCATTTTGTGAGAGATGCTATTATAGATGGTCTCATCAAACTGTCATATGTGCCTACAACGCTTTAATTGCTGACATTTTTACAAAGGCTTTGGGAAAAGTCAAGTTTGAATTTTTACTCCGCAAGTTAGGCATCTATGATCCGTATGCTCCAACTTGAGGGGGGTATTTGAGATATTCTAGATAATCTAGGATATTATTGTGATATATTTAGGTAGCATATCTTATGAAAAGATATGATAGAATATTGTGGAAAGTTTAGGTTGTTATCCTAGCTTTATATATACTTGTATATTGTAGCCATGAAGTTGAATGTGATTATAGAGAATATTTTCTTTATTTGTCTCTAATTTAACAAAAGTATTTGTAAAAGTGGAGTTAATGAAAGAGAGAAATTCCACAATATAAAATAATGATAGATCCTTTTTAAATATAGAAGTATTGTAATTAATATAAAACAAATATAAAAGAAAAGTGTTGCGATTAATGCGAAAAAGAGGGAGTAATTTGTTTTCCCAAATTACTGCTTCTATTCTACTCAAATCAACTCATTCCTTGCAAGCAGTAGCATATGCCATATGTGATATGTCCAGTCTTCTCTCTAGCTTAGAGTCTGTTCACATTTATTAAACTAAGTTGAATTGAACTGATTGGAGCTGAACTGTCTGAACTGAGCTGAAATGAATATTTTATGAGAGAAGGGGAAATTGGGAGCTGAATTAAATGAAGCTGAACAGAACTGATTAAAGCTGAACTGAACTGATTATAGCTGAACTGAAGTGAACTGAATTGAAATTAAGAAGCCCTTAGATAGTCTAATCCAAAATATTTGCATCAATTCAAATACCAAGCATTGCAATTAGCAGCTTCTTCTGGGTTATCTTTTTCAGTCGCCTAAATATACAATTGCCCCTTCACAAAACCCTTAATAAACCCAAAAAAATCCAACATCATCGCTGTTCCTCCTCCGCCGCTGGCAACCGGATTCGCCGGAAACCCATCTACGCCGCCACCCCACCCTTCTTCCCTTGGTGGGTTATGCTCATTTCTGTCAAAAAAACCACCCATTTTTTGGTGGGTATAATACATTGTAATGAATAGCTTGTTATCCCATATTACTGCTTCAATTCTTCTCAAATCAGCTCGTTCTATTCTGGGTACTACTTCTTCTACATTTTGTGGGAGTTGTTCTTCTTCCAATTTGTCTTTGAAAAGGAGTTTCAATCACCCACTTGTTAATTCTATCTGTTTGAGTTCTTCATCGTCTGTTTTCTCAAGGTTTGGTGCAATTCACTGTTATTCTTCTAAGAGGAAGTCTCCCACGAAGCGTAAATCGAAGCCGGAACCGGAACCGGTAGTGGAGGACGGTAAGGAGATGGAAAAGGATGCGTTTTTTGTTGTTAGAAAGGGGGATGTTGTTGGTGTTTATAAGACTTTGAGTGAATGCCAAGCTCAAGTTAGCTCTTCGGTGATTTTTCTTACTTTGTCTTGTTTTCAATTTTCAATATTATCAGTAATGTTTTGAAGGATTTATACTAGTTTGTGTTTTATGCTCCGTTTTTTATTTGGGGAATGATTATTTGTGTTGTAATGCAATTTGTTGGACTCTATGCATCTGATTATGGTCCAAATTTGTATTCTTTGGCCATTTCATATATATAATTAGATTGCATTGGTGGTCTGGTTTTGTAAATTGGCATGGGTCATTGTTTTAGTATTATGAAATGGCCTATAACGTTGTATTGATGACATTTATTGATACAATGTTACATGTTTAGTAATTAAACATACATGAAGTCCCATATCAAGAGAGAGAGAGGGGGGGGGGGGGGGCGTAGGGGTGAGTGGGTTTAAGAGCCTTTAGTTCGCAATTGGGATTTGCGAGGCAATGGTATCCTCCATTCCTATTCAATGCTGTATTGATATTGATACATTAAACTCTCTTGTATGAAATGTGTGATACAATGAGCTGACAGAATATAGCTTGCATTGTTGACTATGAGTTATGTCTTAGAGAAAGCTGCTGTACTTGCTTGTTTGTTCATACTATTGATTGTTCCTGTTATGCATTTGCATCAGAAGTTCACTTTACTAAGGGTTTAGTTTCATGATAAAGCTGGTTTGGGGAATTGGGGGTTTTTACTTGTATTGGATTTCTTAATTGGGCTTAGTGCTTAGTGCAGATAGCTTTTGGGATTTGTAAACCTTTATTTGGACTATACCATGGAATCTTAATAATGATAGAGCGTACTAAGAAATGTGCATAATGATGGATACATTGCTCATATATCTTAAGTAGGGCTATCCACAGTCCACACTTTATTTTTGACATATTGATAAGGTATTTGTAGCTTACCTTCTGGAGATGCGGGATTATGCTTTACAAAGGAGTTATAGATAATCTAACCTTGATGGGGGTATGCTTGCTAGTTGCCAATTAAGTTTTTTCTACGGAGTATTTCTGAAGTTGCGATGTCTTATTGTATTCCCTTGAACTGTCTTCACTTAATTAAGTTTTGTTTTTAAGGAGTACCCTTTGTTTTGACATGGACAAAGTTTACATTTTCATATTTTATCTTTAGCTTTGCTAAATTCTTTTGTGACATCTCAAAGGAGAGTGTAATAATGTCAATATACTGTTCTTTTTAATGGCGCAGATATCAGATCCTCCAGTAAGTGTATATAAAGGATATTCTTTGCCTAAGGATGATGAAGAATATCTTGCCTCCCGCGGGCTTCACAATGCTCTCTATACCATCAAAGCTTCTGATCTGAAAGATGATCTCTTTGGCACACTTGTTCCTTGCCCTTTTCTGGTTAGATCTGTTTTCACTCAAAAGTGCTTGTGGTTGATGTATAATAAATTCTTTGTGTTTTATTCATGCAAATCTATTTAGCTTTGTAACTATGGTGTTATTTTCATTGCTATTTAGGAACCAACATCTTCCAAAGGTGAGACATCCAGCGTTGATTTGCCACAGAAGAGGCCTCATGACGTGCTAGGAACTGGAAATGTGGTTAGTTTTAGCTTTTATTAAGCCGCATTGATCAGTGGCTGCTTTAAAGCGTTTTGTCTCACATTACTGGCATATCATTAACATTTGCTTTGTGGTCTGATACAAATCATGTCATATAGACTTATCATGATTCTCTGTGTAATATGGCTGTCGATAGAAATATTTCTTCTTGTTTATTTCCATGGATGAATCTTGCTTGTACTACAGCGTGTTTGTTTGAAGGGATAAAAAGGGAGTGTGGGGATTTAATTAATTTTTTGTTTGTTTAAGGGGTTAGGGATTATGAAGCACTAGGAAAAAAAGATAAATGGGCACCGGTTCAAAACCGGCTCTGGGCAACGTTTTTGAACTGCTGCCCTTTAAGGGGTTGCCCATTATAGAGGTTATGGGCACCGGTTCTGAACCAGTGCCCTTTTTAATGAGCACTAATTCAAGGGCCAAACCGGGAGCATAGCATGGGCGGAAACCCGGATGGTGGAAGAATCGGGAGAGGCGAGGTCATTGGAGCAACCAGCCCCCTTCAACTTCCCTCATAATGTGTTCTACACTGTTGAAAGCTAGATCCACATGAGGTGTATACTCTATAATGCATGGCTATAAAAACTCCAGTCACTGTTTGACTGACTAACCAGTGCCTTTTAATGCCCAAAAAAATTATTTCTAATTTTTTTGGGTGCTTTTTTCACCTGAATTGGTACACAAACACATGCATAAATATAAACATGGATTTTTCAATAATAAATGATTGTTATATTACAATTTTACTCCCAAAAAAAAAAAAAAAAAAAAAAATCAAAATTGTTCAAAGCTGGGAGTTGGCAGGCAACAGCAGCTGTCCAGTAGGTAGCACATATAGGCAGTATGCAGCAGGCAAGCAGCACAAGCAGGCAACATGCAGCAGTGGATCTAGCCTGGTTTATGTTTTTGCCTTGAGTTTGATCCAGCCAATTCAATATGCAGAACTGATCCAGCTTGTGGGTCAAACTTGACACACTGAACATTGGAAAGATAATGTATACAGATTATTGTCCCAAAAGGAAAAGAGATAAGCATTGCTAAATCCTATAACAGCAAAGTTTTTATAACCTACATTTACCCTACAAGTATGCCAAAATGAGTTAGTGACTGGTTAGCCATAGATCAGACCAAATTCAAAAAAACTTCTAGCCTCTTTTATCCAAGAAGTTAATATCTAACAGCTAAATATGAGTGGTGATACTGATCAGAACAATAGTGAAGATGGCATGGGGCACACAGATGAGCTACATACATTTTATTAAAATTTGAAGGGCAAAATTTTCATTCACAAGTTGCTACAATAACTTGTAACTATTCATCTGTCTCACCATACCTTAAGCAGCATCAATGCCAATTTTAAGTCTCCAAACCCAGTTCAGGGTGAATTTCTTACTGTTTGAACCTGATCATGGCCAAGTGAAAGAGTTGGTAATTCAAAGACCAATGAAAAAATAAATTTTGCGTACCCTTAGCTTTTTGATGTTGCTACCTTACCATATAGGCTGTCAGCTAGTGATCCACCACGCTTATGTTTTTTAAACCAGTATCTGCTGCTTTGATTCGTGACAGAACCCTTCCAAAGATACCAAGTTCTGATGTCTAATTTGTGATAGTAGATGAACCTAAAACAAATACAAACCTTTTATAAGGAACTCTACTGTTACTCTGCTAGTAGTTAGAATATTGTATATGCAGCAAGTACGAATGTAATAATTCTGTCTGTTCACCTTAGAAATTGAACCTCGTTACCAAAGGAATCAGCTCCAACTCCCCAAGTTGAGTCTTATCAGATCGAACTTTCACTGCTACCATCTTTCCATCAGGAAGCTTCCCAATGTTAACAGACCTAAAACTCCCTTGCCCAATTACATCCTTAAAGTTATTTGTCGGTTTTTTAATTTCTTTGTAATAAAAGACTCTATCTGCATTCCAATCTCTGATTTCAGCTTCTTCCTCTGAGCATTACAGTATAATACCCATGTTAGGGTGAAGGCATGATGTTCATAATAGAATCAGTACCGAAGTACTGAAATAGGGGCTCAGAAACAAGTTGAGCTTACTTGATATGTTATTCAACATTGGGGTTTTCTTTATCACATATGAGAAGATTGAGAACACCGACAAACCAATCAAAATAACCACACATATGCTTCCAATAACTGCACCAAGTATGATGGCTTTATGTGTGTGGCCTCTGTGCTTCCTTTCAGGGATTAAAGTAAATTGAGGTGCCTCGATTGGAGCTTCTCCTGAACTGCTACAAGCAGATGTAGAGAAAGACAGGCACAATTTCCTGTATCCTGAGCCAAAATTACATTATTACAATCAAGGTTAATGGTTTGTTTTCAACCAGCTGCTGAACTAGAGAACTAATTGGGTCAAAAAAAAAAAAAAAAGAACTAGAGAACTAAGGCTTTGTTCAATCTTACTTGAGAATCACATCCTCTTTCTTCAAAGAGTGCGAAAGAGGCCCTCTTAATTTATTTTTCCAGGTTACTGAAGATAGCCTCTTTTTTAGTAGAGTATACACACAAAGATGGAATTCTTGGGGGAATATTACGACATTGTATGCAAGATTTAATCTCTTACAGTAGATGGAGCTTCTTTAAAGCGCTTAACTTGTCAGGAACTGTTCCCTGTAAGCTGTTGTTTTGCAAGTCCCTACAGAAAGAAACCAAATAACAAGTTTTAGATGAGTACAGTTACTGAGGCGGTAAGTTTTTATAGTTCAGGACTAACATATGATGACTCACAGAATTTGAAGATTCGCCTTGCAATGAATAATATAGTTGAATAGAAATGGTCATATTATAAGGGTTTTTCTACCTACTGATTGCTTTGGAGACTATAAAAATCCAGCTTTCTTGTGATCATCTGCAGCAGGGGTTGTTAAGCATTATATGAGAAAGATGTATCAAAATGGGGTTGATTGTACTCTACATCGCTTTTCTCTCACTCAATTACTGGCTGTGAGCCCTAATACATCAATAATTTTCTTTTTTACACATCCTTCTTCCCGGGAGAATTCTGTTGTGTTGAAGCACAAATGGCTGCTTTGATGTGTTTCTGAATTTGAAAAGAAATCTAATTTCTTGATATTGCCAGTGCGAAAAATCACAAGCGTTTTTCATTTTGCAGGGAGATGTTGGAACCTCTACAGATCCATTGAGCAAGCTTCAAAAGTTGGATAGTGTGCCTTCTGATACTGTGAGTATGTTTGAATTGCTCTGAACTCTGACATTTGTTTATTTGTTTGTTCTTATGTTTGCTTTTTTTTTTTTTTTTCTTTGTATGAAACAATAACCATGTTTATGACTCTTTGGTGACGTATGTGTCCACTTTTGCTTCTAAAAGCTCAAGAGTTTTTTATCATCCAGGAATGGAATATTTGATGGTGCTTTATTGATTAGATGTTGCAGTGATTCCAGTAAAACCTGATCCCTTGTTTGTGATTTACAGCAATCTTGTATTCTTCATTTTGATGGTGCTTCTAAAGGAAATCCTGGACAAGCTGGTGCTGGAGCTGTGCTTCGTACTTTAAATGGAAGCTTGGTATAAAATTAATATCATTAATAATATATTTGAGTTTCTGGTTATCAGATTTTACTTTTTCTAACTGATTTGAGTATCCATCTAGATTTGTAGAATACGTCAAGGCTTGGGAACTGCCACCTGTAATGCGGCTGAATATCGAGCTGTTATTTTAGGATTAAAGAAAGCTCTTGAGATGGGTTATACAAATATTCAAGCGCAAGGTGACAGCAAACTTGTCTGCATGCAGGTTTTACCTTCTCTTTTTCTTATGGGGAACAAGTTTTTTCATGTTGTTATTCCTCGAGGAGAGTGATATTCTGTCAACCTTGATATCTTTTATTTGCTCTTTCTTGTTTGAGTAGAGGAAGAAGGGCTATTAGTCTGTCTTTTGTGATATCATTTTCCTAACCTTCAGAAATAGTAAATTACTTTACTAGGCACCATGTGATCTTTTGAATCCTAGCTATATAATTAAGGCTAGACTTTTTGTATTTGCCTGGTGTAGTCATACACCAAGGTTAGACTTTTTGTTCTGATTTACAAATGAGAAAAATAAGAACCATAATCTATTATGGTCTTCAATATTGGTTTATGTTCTGCATTGTAAAATCTGTCCTACATAAAATACTAAGCGTTTTTACCAACACACTGATGCTCTACGCACAATCTTGAAACTTGTTGGTTGTCTACTTTGTCATAATGAACATGCTGAACTTGCATGCAATTTCCTTTTTCTTAGGAAAATTTGCCAAAATTCACCTTATAAAACACTCTTTTTTGTGGGAAACCACCTTATAAATAAAACTTTTAAGAATAAACATTAAATTAATTTATATTTGTGATACACCACCTTAAATTAAACACATTTTTTTTTATTTTATTTATTTATTTTCATTTTTATAAGGTGATTTCCCACAATTTTTTTAAATTTATTTATTAGGTGTTTTCTGGCAAATATGCCTTTTTCTTACATATAGAAACTTTATTTGCTGAGACTTCTTGATGCATATTCTTGCCTTTTTGTGTACTTAATTTGTTTAGGATTTGACATTGCCTCTAAAATGCAGCTTCAGGGTTTATGGAAAGTCAAGAATGAAAATATGTCTACCTTGCATGCAGAGGCAAAGCTTCTGATCAACAAGTTCACATCTTTTAAGATCAGTCATGTTTTAAGGGTGAGTATGCTGCCACAAGCTGGTCTTAAAACATACGACTTGATTTACATCTATTACTTTTGCTCTTGCTTGTACCTTTTGCATTCACTCATTTGGTTTCATCTTCCTTTGAGTATTTGCTACTAAAGCAGCCATTAGCTAAGTGGTAGAATTTGGTCTTGAAGGCACACTAGTGTGCTGTCTATTCCTTTTCTTTTTCTTTTTTTTTTGCGCTTGGGGTGGGGGGTGGTGTTTATCTTGAATGTGTCTTAACTTCTTTCAGGATCATCAAAATTATCTTAGAACTCACAATTTATCACCTTTTTTGTTTTTGGATAGGAATTACCTTCTTGTATTTGGGTTGCTTAGATGTGGGTGGTCCTTTGGCTCATCTTAGAGATGTGTTTACTTAATTTTCAGTTTATAAATGTTTCGCAGCCTGTATTTCTCAACTGGTTAAGGTTTAACATTGCAAATCTTGACTGATCAACCCTATCCCTTGGGGCATATACTTGTGGGATCTTTTATGGCTTGTACTGATATGTGGATGAGATGAGAAATAAACCATTTGTTTGAATACTTTACCAAATTGTACAATGAATTTTATCGTATGTCTGTGTCATGACCAAGGATTACTTGCAGGAATTCAACTCTGATGCAGATGCACAAGCGAATTTTGCTGTTAGTCTTGCTGGTGAGTTGCACTCTTTACTAATTTATTACATATAAAACCTTCCTACTCTCTGGCTGACCAGTTTCTATACTATAACAGATGGTCAAGTTCAGGAGGTGTTTTCTTAGCTCAAATCTTGTAAAGTCGGGTTTTGGAACCTCAATAGCAGAATCAGTTAGCTGCTGCATACCTTTTTGGCTTTCCATCTTTTATTTATCAACTTTCAAATAATATTGCATACAGGTGAATAAGAAATTGCACCTGCTTTTGGGCTGAACATACTCAACAAAAATCATCAACATTAAGACCCTGTGACATTAAACTTGTAGCTTTACATGTCTAGCAACAATTGACACCATGAAAGCAACAAAAGTGAGAAACAAATCCTGATACTGAAAAGGTATTTCAGGTAGCATTAACAAGATCTCAGTAATCAGTATACTATACTCTCTGTCCGTTTTGTAGGAGGTTTGAAAAAAGTCGTCATATGTACTGAATCACTGATATGGTGGATTGGTTGTGGTTGATTTTATCATGATCCTAAGAATGAAATATTTATATAGGTTTTTTTATTTGACATTGGCATTAATGGCATGCTTAATTATGCGACTTATTTTTGGACGAAAGGAGTATTTTTTTGATCTTTTTGAGCTTACAAGGCTGATTGACAAATTGTCAAAAAATTATTGCTTATTATAGTAATAGTTTCATGGACAATTATGTATTTGACGCTCTATAACTAGGGATGTCAATGGGGCGGGGCGGGGCGGATGTTGGCATTCCCATTCCCATCCCCATCCCCACCTAACATTTTAATCCCCATCCCCATCCCCGCGGCGGGTCTAAAATTCATCCCCATCCCCGCCCCGGTGAGTAAAATTTCAAAACCATCTCCGCCCCACCCTCCACTTGGATATCCACCCTTGCCAAAGACCCGCCTAATCCCCCCCAAGACCCACCTTTCAAATACACAATCCTACATAATTAATATAGATTATATTAAAAAAAAATCATTCTAAATATTACACATCTTTTTGTTTATAATATAAGTGTATTACAAAGTATTATAATTAATATTTTATAAAATAGTATAAAAGTATAGAATTTGTTTTAAAAGATATATAAATGTGGGTATAAGGTGGGAATAGGGCGGGTACGAAGTGGGGCGGATGGGCTGGGGCGGGGATTGGGCAGGTACAACCTAAAATCCACCCCCGCCCCACCTATGGCGGGTATGGTTTTTATCCCCATCCCCGCCCCACTACCCGCCAAACCAAGACCCATCCCCGCCCCACTGGGGCGGGATGGGGCGGGTCTCCTACTTGACCCGCTCCACTGACATCCCTATCTATAACTCCTGAGGCAATTATGTATCATTTCTCACAATACGTAGCAAACATGGACAAATTGACTTCTCACACTTAGTAGCAAATGGCATGGTAGGGGTGCTTATGATGCGAGCCGAGTTCGAGTTTGGGGTAGCTGGACTTGCCTCGTTAACATATTGAGTTGAAGTTAATCGAGTCGAGGTTTGACCGAGTCGATCTCGAGTAGCTTGCAACTTGATCCGTGTTAGTATATTCCTATTTAGTGTGACATTTCTTCATTCTCTTTAATTTCGTCATTTGAGAAGTACATGTATGATCATACATATGAGTATATAAATAATTGTTATTTATTAATTTTTTTTTTTGAAGTAAAGCCCCAAAGGCTAATCATTCATTAGTAGGGAGATCAAAATCCAAAAGAGGAACAATACAACTAGGAAAATTAGACAACCAAACTCTACTACCCGGCTCCCACGGAAAGCAATGAGCTAACTCGTGTGCCACTTTATTCCCCTCCCTATGAGTAAAACTCCACGAAACAAAATCAAAAGACCGAATTTCATGATAAATATCATCGAAAATTAAATGTAGACTACTGTCACCTCTCACTTGTGCCTTAATTGCGTTCAAAACCCCTAAGCAATCACTCTCCACCTCGATGTTTCTCGCACCAAAATCAGCAGCAGCTTGCACACCTAGAAGTATGGCCTTAGCTTCAACAATACTTGGCTCCCATCTATCCTCGAACATCCAAGACGCAGCCAGAACAACAACGCCATTAGCATCCCGCAGCACCACACCAACAGACGAACCCAACCCTTCTCTCACACCACCATCAACATTTAATTTCAGCCGTCCCGCAGAAGGAGGCTTCCAACTTTGCTGACCACGACTGCCCCCAGAACTAGCCCCTACCTCATCCTTAGCTAGCTCACCAATAACCTTCTTCACATGCTCCATCGACTTCTTCGGATCACATTGCTCACCTTCATAAATCCATCGATTTCTCGCATTCCAGATAGCCCAACATGTCGTAATAAACAAGGCATGATCAACAGCAGGGAGGCTATCAAGACATGACATAGCCATGTCTATGAAATTCTGAAACGCCCCACCTATCATATCCTTCAGCTCGCATTCCTCCCAAATGGATTTGGCAATCACACAATCTGCCGTACAATGCAGCTCGGTTTCCTCTAATGCTCAACAACGCTGCACACTTCAACACGATCTCGAATTCTCTTGCTCAACCCGTGTGAGGTGGGAAGAATTCCCCTGCAAGCCCTCCAAAAGAAAATCTTTACTCTCGGAAGAACATTCGAATGCCATATTTTATTCCAGATTTTTGTAGGCAGCGATGAAGAAACCACATTTTCACAATTAAGATCACCAAATATTGCCTTGTATGCTGAACGAACAGAATAATTGCCATCTTTCTCTAAATCCCAACAGATTATATCCTCGGGAAGACGAAAACTCAAAGGGATGCTAAGCACTCTTTCTCTTTCAAAAGGGAGTAAGAGCTCATTAATCAAAGGGACATTCCAAGAAGTAGTGGGAAAATGAATAAGATCACACACCCTTAAATCCCTTCTATCATCCAAAATGGGAGAGATCACCTTTCTAGTTTGAGTACCAGGAATCCATGGACAATGCCAAACTGGGATGCTAAGTCCATACTGCTAGGTGTGCAAGCTGCTGCTGATAATCCCCATGAGCAAAATATTTCGCCTTCAATACTCTCGCAACCGAGCTATTCGGTTCTTGCATAATCCTCCAAGCCTACTTTGCCAACAAAGCCAAGTTAAACAATTTAAAATCCCTAAAGCCAAGACCCCTGCAGCCTTCGGTGCACATAACTTCCTCCATGACAACCAATGAATTTTCCTCTCTCCTTTTTTCTGACCCCACCAAAAATTCGACACCATCAAACGCAATTCATCACAAAAAGAAGAGGGGAATTTGAACACACTCATCGCGTAGGTTGGGATAGATTGGGCCACGACCTTAATCAACACCTCCCGATCCGCCTTGGATAGCATTTCCCCCTTCCACCCTTGTAGTCTTTCCCATAATTTTTCCCTAACACCCTTCGTTATAACTCTCTTAGACCTCCCAACAACCGTGGGAAGGCCAATATATTTATCATGAATATCCACCAACTTAACTCCCATCAAGTCCGCCAACTCCCTTCTCTTATCCTCCGATACACCCTTACTAAACGACACTGTCGTTTTATCAAGATTTACCTTTTGCCCCGACGCCAATTCATAAATATTGAGAATATTATGAACTGTATTCACCTCCTCAACATTCGCACCTGAAAAAATAATACTATCATCTGCAAATAATAAATGCGAAATAGAAGGAGCCGACGATGCCACCTTGATCCCATGAAGACTACTATTCAAAACAGCTCTATTTAACAACCCAGATAAAGCTTCCGCACATAAAATAAATAAATATGGGGAAATAGGATCACCTTGTCGAAACCCCTAGATGGAGTAAACTCCCCCGAAGGTGCCCCATTTATAAGGACAGAAAAAGTAACTGTGGACACACAATGCATAACACGATCCACCCAACTCTCAGCAAAACCCAACTTCATCATGACTGCCCTTAAAAATCCCCACTCCACACGGTCGTAAGCTTTTGCCATGTCTAACTTCAGAGCCATAGTCCCATTACTACTATTCGAATTTTTATATGATGGAAAACCTCAAAAGCCACCAAATTATTGTCCGTAATGAGTCTCCCTGGGGTAAAAGCACTCTGATTCAAAGAAGTAATATCCGAAAGAAAGACCTTTAATCTATTAGCTAGCACTTTAGTAATCAACTTATACACCACATTGCAAAGACTAATAGGTCTAAACTCGGTCATTTTATCAGGGGATTTTGTTTTCGAAATTAAAACAATAAAGGTCTTATTAATATCTTCCAGAATCATTGCACCATTAAGCACATCAAGCACAAGGGTAGTAACCGCAGGATCAACAATATGCCAGTAAGTTTGGAAAAAAAGGGGACATATACCATCCGGACCTGGAGCCTTGATCGGATGCAATTGCTTCAGAGCCGCAAGCACCTCATCCGCTGTATACTCGGCACAAAGACCCTCATTCATTTCACTAGTAACACGGGAGTTAATTCCACTTAGTGCCTCATCCAAATTCGACCCCATAGAAGAAGTGAAAAGGGATTGAAAATAGTCAACTGCCACTTTGCTAATACCATTCTCATCATTATGTCTGACTCCATCCTCTGCTACAAGGCAATTGATATTATTTTTTTTGGCGACGTTGCGAAGCTTTCCTATGGAAAAAGCTTGAATTACGATCACCAACAGTAAGCCAAATTGCCCTTGATCTTTGTCTTCAATATAACTCTTCATGGAGTAAGTCATTGATTTCTTTGACTACCTTTATTCGCTCCCGAACCTGACTTTCAGTACTACTCCCCTTATTAAGTGTAGCTAGCTAGTCTCTTCCTTCTTTTTCTTATCTCCTTAAAAATCTTCCCAAACTCACTGTCACTCCACATCTTCAACTCAGCCGCACAAGAAGCCAGCCGCCCCTCAACCGTACCACCCCCTAGCTGCCAACCGTTCCTCACAACACCTTCACACCTATCATTCTCCACCCAAACTTGCTCAAATCGGAATGGCTTTTCCTTGTTGCAAGTATTACCCAACTCCTCATCAAGAAACAATTTAATTGGTGCATGATCTGACCATTCACGTTCAAGATTGAAGACCTTTGCTTTCGGAAAATAAGTCATCCATTGTTGATCCGCTAATGCCCTATCAAGACGGCATTGGACATTATCTTCACCCAATTGCCCATTATTGTAGGTAAAAGCATACCCCGTATATGCAATGTCACACAAATGGCACGTATCAACAACCTAACGGAAGCTTTCCATCTGCCAAAGAGCCCGGTCTCTACCTCCAATCTTCCCTGAATCAAGTAATATTTCGTTAAAAATCTCCTATGCAAACCCACGGCTCCCCACCACCATTTGCTAATTCAGTAAGAAGCTTCCAAGAAAGATGACGGTTTTGCACCTCCAGCCACCCGTAAAATTCAGAGAGCCTCCAAATCCCCTCCCCTGCCCCTTTTTTTTAACCAAAACACTCACATGATGAACAGACATAGAGATTAACTCCACCTCCATACTACACAACCAAAACATAGCAACCCCACCTGATCTACCTTGACTATCAACCGCAACCCTTCATAACCCACCAATTTATCTCGAATTTTACGCATTTCACCACACTAAGTTTCGTCTCCATCAGAAAAAAAAAGAGACGGGGCCTCCCTCCGAACTAAATTTCGGAGATTATTAACTGCAGAGGAGTTGCCCAATCCTCTACAGTTAATGCTTAACACACTCATTGAGCTCGGCGGGACTACCTTGCAACAGTCTCCGCCACCCGCAATCCAGAAGAAGTATCCGTCTCATTATTAGTCCCTACCACCGTCCCCTCCTCCAAGCCTAACCCCACCTCTCTTCCCCTCTTTCCAAGAACAACTCGATCCTCCCCCATCATATGACTATCAAATAAATCCTTATCTCTAATAATTTTTCTCCACGTCCTACCACTACCCGAACTTCCAGTTTTAATTTTCACATGCTCTCCCTGCCCACTCTCCACACTCACCCCCTGCTTCTCTCCCTCCCCCTTCTCCACACTCTCCGAACCCCGAGTAATTGCACCACCCACATCACTTACCTCTTCACTCCTTACAATAATAGGCTACTGCCCCTCATTACTCACTACCGTCTCCAGTTCTCTCGCCTCTTTCTCATGATCAGAAACTAATTTCGCACACTCCTTAGTAACAAAGAGCTGATTCAGCACTCCCAAAACAGCCTCTAACTCTTCATCCTCCTTCACCTTCCCTTTTCTTGGCGAGGCACGCAACCACCTCCCCCATCCCAGCTTTACTTGCTTGCTCTCCTCCGACACAAGGCAACAATCTTTCTCTGAATGACCTATAATGCCACACGCAAAACAGAAATATGGTAGCCTTTCATACGCAAATTCCAGAGTGATCACATTACCCCCTTTGTCTCTGATTCGCTGCACCCTTCTCAAAGGTTTAGTAATATTGATCATTACCTTCACACGCCGGAACCTATCAAGCCCCAAAAGATATTTCTCTACCTCTAAAATATCTCCCCAACCTGCCACAATTTCCTTCACATCTTCATCTGATCTACAATTAAAAGGAAGATGCTTTATACGCACCCAAACGGAGCATGAACCAGCGACTCCTACTCAGGTTGCTCGTCACCATCAACTTCCCTCAAGACTAGCAATTTATTATCAAAGCACCATGGTCAATCTTTAAGAACCCTTTCCTTGTCCCTCCAATGAAAAAATTGAAAGGCATAAAGATTAGGTCCTAAGACCCTAATTACAATCTTATTAGTTAATCCCCAAACCTTAGTCATACTGTTCTTGAAGGCCTTAACATTATATGGTCTTTCCGTCACTACCCGTCCGATCAAAAGCAAATGGAATTTATCTATCGAAGGCTGAGAATTAACAGCCCCTAAGTCAACAACTCCACTATCTTCTTCCTCCAATCTCAAATTAGCATATTTTTCCAGAATATCGTCAGCCATAGTTCAAAGAAAACGAGAACAAAATCAATGAAAGCCGTCGAGAACGGCAGCCAAACCCCACTTTCTAGAGAGAAAACCCTTTCTTTCGAGGGAGAATTAGATATGTTATTTATTAATTATTAATGGAACATAAAGTTTTTTTTTACCAAAATGTTTTAATTGTTAGTAAATATAATATTATATACAGGAATTCTAGCTTTTTATGAGCTTTTGAGTTGAGTAATGAGCTACTCGATTCGTTAACATTTTGAGTCAATCTCGAGCTCGAGACGAGTCGAATTTTGACCGAGTCGAACTCAAGTAGCTTGCGAGTTATCTCGTCTCATAAGCACCCTTAGGCGATTAGATGGGTTGTCACGGTAAAAACAATGACTACCATGACCATAGAGGTGTAAATGAACCAAGCCGATCAATAAACTACTCGGATTTGAGCTCGGTTGAAGCTCGTTCAGG